AATATATTGGTGAAATTATTAATTTTAGATAAAATAAAACGTATTTTAAAAATGCTTGAAAAAAGAAAAAAAAAAATAACAAAAACTTTTTTTTTTAAAAAAAAACAATTCTTTTACAATAATAGGTTTTTCTATCTTCTCTAACATAACATATAAATAGCCATGGAAGACGAAGTTGCCGCTGTATGTATAACTCTACTTTATTTCTTATAAATACAAATACTTTAATAACTATCTGTATAGTTATTACCTTATCACTCTAATACAAACATTTTAATTAGACATAAAGCTTTTATTCGATTAAATTATTAAAATAACTTGCAACTAATTTTTCATCTCTCAATTACAAAATAGCTTGTCATTGACAATGGTTCCGGTATGTGCAAAGCAGGTTTCGCTGGAGACGACGCACCGCGCGCTGTAAGTGAAATTTATGCTTTTATCGGATCGGTGAATCTGATGGATTATTACTAGAAAAGAGTAATTCCATTGGATAGTTTTTTTTTTATCGAGTTATAAAACATAACATTTGAAATTATTTCGTTGATTTGAATGTTAACCTTTATATAAGCAAAGTAAATTGTATTAATTTTTAATCAATATTAAATAAATTAGGTTTTCCCATCCATTGTTGGTCGCCCTCGCCATCAAGGTGTAATGGTCGGTATGGGTCAAAAAGATTCATATGTAGGCGATGAAGCCCAGTCTAAGCGTGGTATTCTTACGCTTAAATATCCAATTGAGCACGGAATCGTAACGAATTGGGATGACATGGAAAAAATCTGGCATCATACGTTTTACAATGAACTTCGTGTTGCTCCTGAAGAACATCCCGTGCTATTGACTGAGGCACCTCTTAATCCCAAATCAAATCGTGAAAAAATGACACAAATTATGTTTGAAACTTTTAATGCACCTGCTTTCTATGTTGCAATTCAAGTCGGTTATCAATTAAAGCAATTTTTTTTTGTATTGCATTTTCCAATTTAAGAAAGATAGTTATATTTAAAATATATACTTTGTCTATTCCATAGGCTGTCCTTTCATTGTATGCGTCTGGTCGTACTACTGGTATTGTCCTTGATTCCGGTGATGGTGTCACCCATACTGTTCCAATCTACGAAGGCTATGCTCTCCCTCACGCCATTCTTCGACTAGATTTGGCTGGTCGTGATTTAACCAATTACCTGATGATTATTTTAATGGAAAGGGGTTATTCATTCTCTACCACCGCTGAACGTGAAATTGTTCGTGATATCAAAGAAAAACTCTGTTACGTTGCTTTAGATTTCGAACAAGAAATGCAAACCGCTGCCCAATCGTCATCTTTGGAGAAGTCATATGAATTGCCTGATGGACAAGTCATTACTATTGGTAACGAACGGTTTGTATTTTTACTTTAATTAGCGTTTAAAAAATATTATGAATCATACGTAATCAAAAATGTTTTTATTTTTATACATATTTTAATATACCTGTGCTTTCTAACTTTAGTTTCCGTGCTCCCGAGGCTCTTTTCCAGCCTTCGTTCTTGGGTCTTGAAGCCGCTGGTATTCACGAAACTACATACAATTCTATTATGAAATGCGATGTTGATATTCGTAAAGATCTTTACGGTAACATTGTCCTTTCTGGGTAAGTTTAGTTTTATATGGTGTATGTACTTATGCATTCTCTTTTGTCAGATACAAGGTTTTAACTTTTTGATTTTTTATTTAAAATTTTGTAGAGGTACTACTATGTATGCAGGAATTGCAGATCGTATGCAGAAGGAAATTACGGCGTTGGCACCTTCTAGTAAGTTTTTTTTTTTTTCTTTTTTCAAGCATTTTTAAAATACGTTTTATTTTATCTAAAATTAATAATTTCACCAATATATTAAATTTAGGCATGAAAATCAAGGTATTTATAAAAATGATAAAGAACCTTTTATTTTGAAAATATTGTTTTAAAATACTAAAATTTTTTTTTACAAAAACAAAACAATACTTTATAGATTGTCGCCCCCCCAGAACGAAAATATTCTGTCTGGATTGGAGGGTCTATCTTAGCTTCGGTATGTATTCTTTTAGTGCACATTTTATGTTATTTAACATTATATATATTAATGCATAATTATATATATAAAAATATATACGTTAGCTTTCCACTTTCCAACAAATGTGGATTAGTAAACAAGAATACGACGAATCTGGTCCCTCAATTGTTCATCGCAAATGCTTTTAAATAATTTATTAACTTTATTATTTGTCATGATGGCTTTTGGAATTTTATTTTATTGCGATAGTTTTTTATAAGAAATTTGTGATTAGTCAAGTAATCAACCAATAAAAGGGGTATTTATTGTAAAAATAACTTATAGCTTCCGATTTCAGACCAAATCAGACCAATCTCTTCGTCGTATTCTTTTCACATTTCTAAAAATAAATACATTATTATTATTATTATTATTATTTCATATTAAAATGTTTGCGTAATTTTATTAATTCTAATGAAATTTTGCTTTAACTTGAACGAGAATTACTATCCCTTGTTAAATTAGAATTTTATCAAATAATAAAGAAAAAATTATTTATATTATTAAAATCGAAAAAGTTATTATTTGTTTCATAAAGGTAGTATCTAATTAATTCGAAATTGTCTAACAATTAAAGGATTATATTATTATCTAATCTTAGGTTTTTCTTTCAACGGATCGTATGGTAGGATGCATTTGTAATCCTATAATTTCTGGATTCAAATTTATAGGACGCAATTTCCTCAATAAAATTATTTTAATAGTAGCATAAATCAAGATTACAATACCAAATCCCAAAGGTATTAACCAGAATATTGGACTAAGTGTATAACTCGTTTTAAATGCAACGTTAAATGGTGGGATATAAACAACGCACATGCCCAATACGACACCAAAAGTTAGCCCAAGGAAATTACGAGGATTTGAGAAGATAAATTTACCAAATGGGAACCGAAATCGAGCTTTGCAAGCGAATAGATTGAACATCTGTTGAATCATGATGGACAAATATACAATTGATTGTGCTTCAGCCAATGCTTTAATTTGCACATCTCTCGTTATCACGGTATTATGAACATTTGGATAAGGTATTGCGTCATCTGTGAAATATTTTCCTTCAGTTACTCCATGTTGCATTATTCGTGCATCACGTGGAGTGATACCATGATAATTTAAAACTACGAAATATGCAACCAATGCGCCAATTAATTCTATAACGCCAATTTCCAAGTATGACCATCTGAGAAGCTTTGCATCAACCAACGCTTCACCTTCAGAACCCTCTAATAAATCAGACCACCATGTTTTTGTAAAAGGTTTTTTCATTGTATGCAAAATTTGTGAAACTTTTGAAGGAGTTACATGATGACCAGTTTCCGGATCGGTGATAGTTGGAGTTCGATTAAGAGCATGGCGACGTATACGTTCTATTGAAGTAGCAGTAACGGGTTTTCTAGGAGGTAATTTCATTAGACCTGTATCGCTTTCTGGTTTATCCCAAGCAAATGACAGAGCTAAAAATAATTCAAATCCCAAGTCTGTTAACAATATGAGAATTGGAGTCAACGGTAATGGGATAGGTACAACAACAAATAGCAATGAAACCACAACTTGTGGTGTTGAATGAGTAATGGTGTATTGAATAGACTTTCTAAGGTTCGCAAAAATCAGACGCCCTTCTTCAATACCCTTCACTGTAGAGGCAAAGTTATCATCCATTAAAATCATAGCGGCCGCCTCCTTAGAAACATCAGATCCAGATTGATTCATAGCGATCCCTAAATCGGCTTTCTTTAAAGCAGGTGAGTCATTTACGCCATCACCAGTTACTCCTACGATATGACCAATAGATTGTGCACGTTTGACAATTTCAAGCTTATGACGAGGAGAAGTACGTGCAAAAATAATTTCAGTTTTAGAAAAGATATTATCCCAATCATTATTACTTAAGGAATCTATCTGTTCGCCGTGAATGACAATAGCGTTGTATTCATCCTCACGGATTGATTCAATAGATCGACCAGTTTTTTTAACAATAAGTTCTTTAGTGTCTGATAACATTAAATTAATTTTGCGTCCAATAGCCTCAGCGGTTAAAGGATGATCGCCAGTCACCATCATTACCCGAATACCGGCTGTACGACAACGGCCAATAGCTTCACGAACTCCATGCTTCGGAGGATCTTCCAGTGAAGCTAATCCAACAAAACAATAATCACCTATTGGGTAATTCTTCTTCTCTTTTTTAAATTCAAAACCTTCATGGTATGGATCAGCTGGTAACAATAATTGTGCAAAAGCCAAAACTCGATGTCCTTTTGAAGCCATAAATTCATAAATCTCGTCATATTTCTTTTTATGTTCGTCAGTCAAAGGAATTGCATTCTCATCTGACAATATTGTTGTGCAAAGTCTAAGTACGCGTTCAGGTGCTCCTTTGATATACAAAGTTAGATCACCCTTGTTATGTTTCTTCTTATGAATCGTGAGTGCCCATTTTGTTTCAGAATTGAAAGGAATTTCGAAAACTTTTGGGTATTTCTTAATAAGTTCATCATAATCATCTACATTTTGAGCGGCGAAGCGTATTAACCCTGTTTCAGTAGCGTCACCAAGGATTGAACGCTCAGCGAATGGAATGTCGGTACGATCAAATTTAGCACGGGAGCATAATGAAGAAATATGAATAATTTCTTGAATACCAGGTGCATTTGGATCGAAAGGAGTATTTTCAGATTGCATGTTTCGAAATGCTGAATACATATTTAAAGAAGACCAAATATAAGTTACAGTCATTTGGTTTCTAGTTAAAGTACCGGTTTTATCTGTAGCCAAAAGAGTAATCGCTCCAAGTGTCTCAACACCTTGAAGATCTTTTACAAGTACATTTTGTGCTGCCATTCTCTTTGCTGCTATAGTCAAAAGGACTGTGACAGTAGCTGGCAACCCTTCGGGAACCCATGCAACAAGTATGGAAATGGCGAAACTAACATTAAGAGCAACACTATTATATACACTAAAACCAACTCCAAAAAAAATAAAAGCACAAATCAAGGCAATAGTAGCTATTAATTTTACGAAATCATCAATTTCTTGTGCTAAAGGTGACTTGTTCTTTTCTTCTCCTGCGGTAAGACCGGCAATTTGACCCAATACAGTATGATCGCCAGTTCTGATGACAATACCATAACCTTCACCCGATACAACTAGGGTACCGTTAAAACAAACGTTAGTAGCCTCTAGTGGATTCTTGAAAGTATTTGTCTTCATCCTTTCTTGTGGTTCTGATTCACCAGTAAGGGAGGAGTTATCCACTTTCATATCAGTTGCGGCGAATATCAGTAAATCAGCGGGAACTTTATCTC